CCCAAAAAAAAAAAAAAAAAAAAAAGAAAGAAAGAAAGAAAGAAAGGCCTAGCGCCGTGATGGCAAACCTTTCAGAGTTTTCAGTGATAAACAACTTGCTGCAGCATGTGTGCCACAGGTTTGACACCACTGGCCTAGTGGGTTATTGGAGCACAGTTCTGGATATATCTGGATGATTCATCTGTAAGCTGCAAAATGAAGAGGGAAGACTCACCCTGAACAGAGATGGCACCGGCCAATAGGCTCGTAGCCTGGATGGAATAAAAAGGGAAAGAAGGGTGTCTCCTTTGGATGCCATCTCTAGGTCCTCCAGGCTCCCAGCACAGACTCTCTTGCCTTCCAATGCAGACCCTTCTACTTGCCTATTCAGGCTGTCATGGGACTCTGCAATGAGCTCCAGGCCTTGGACTTTGCCTGGATCCTCTGGCTGTCCGGCACATAGACAGCCCTTTTGTACTCTTCCACACCTGACTCTGCAGGTGACCACTGAAATCTACTGTTTTTTATCCTTTCTATATCATCCTTATATTAATTGTGTTATATCTGTTCCTCTAGTGATGTGAGGCTTAAGAGTCATTTTTCTTTTCTTTTTCAAAGAAAGCTCTCTTTCCAAGCTCACGCCTGCGTGGTAGCAGTGTTCTATTCCTGTGCTAAAGGACTATGAATTTTTAGAACCCAAGGGTCTGTCCAACTACAGAGCAACTTTGGACGCCAACATTAACGTGCATGTAGCAGGGCCCAGGTTGTCTTACACAGTTGGCATAGGCTAACCCAGTTAGCCCTCCCTGCAACCCTGCAAGGTTGGGCTGCTTATTTTCCTGTGTTTCTGTGGCTCAGCCACAGAGCCACACAGAGTGATCCATCCGATTCCAAAGCCCACACCTCACCTGCAGTATCCTAGGAGAAAGCAGCGGAAGTCACGAGCAGTCTTTCTGTCTGGAAGTGTTCCCCCGAAGCTCCCCATTAGCCGGATATCTGTGGTCAGAGTGAGGAGTCTTCCTCAACCAACGCAGGACTCAAGTCAATGGGCTCTTTCTCCGATTCTCCTCGGAATCCTGAGAGCCTTATAAATGGTGGTTTAGATATGCGGTCCAACTTATTTTTGTATTTAGTGCTGCTAAAATGAGTTTATATAAAATGGATAGATGGTCATTTTGAACCCAGTAAGTGGTACTTGATGTTTTCTTATTGGACCTGGAGGACTGATAATGTTCCATTAAACACTGAAGAACTTCAAGAAAAGATAGGTTGGACAAAGCAATCGATATTTGCAGATGAATAATCAGCTATACAGAAACACCCAAATAATATGTAGGCACAGCACTTGAACTAATAACAAAGATTTATAAGACTTCTTGACAAAAAAATTATGTTTTTATAAGATTTCTATTAGCAATAATCAGAAAGTGTCATTTTCCTGTAAAGATAGCTGTCAAAATGTTTAAAGTAATAGAAATACATCTATAAAAGACATGTAAATGTTCTGCGGAAAAAACGAGGACAATTAATTAATTCATTAATTAAGTCTTTCTCAGTTATCCAGGCTGGTCTTTAACTCCTGGCCTAAAGCAATCCTCCTACCCTAGTTTCCCAAGTGCTGACACTATAGGCACATTTCACCATGCCCAGCAATAATCAAATTATTTTTATTTACTTATTTTTTTGAGACAGGCTGGCCTTGAACTCACTGTGTAGCCCAGGCTGGCCTTGAACTCAAAGCAGTCATCCTGCCTCAGCCTCCTGAGTGCTGGGATTACGGACATGTGCCACCATGCCCAGCTCAAATTTTAAATGATATTATAAAAGATATAAATAATAGAGAGAAATACAAGGTTGTTGGTTAAGAAGATTCGGTATCATAATTGTCAATTCAAATCAAATTGATTTATACTTTTAATCTAATGCCTATTAAAATCCCAAGAGACTTAAAAAACTATTTCAGAAATGTGTATGGAGGGCCCGGGATGTAGCTCAGTGGCACTGTGCCTGCCTGGCAAGCACAAGGTCCCGAGTTTGATCCCCAGTACCACAACCACCACCACCACCACCAAAAAAAAGTATATCTAGCTATGCATGGTGGCACACACCTGTAATTTCAGCACTTGAGAAGCTGAGGCAGGAGGAGTGGCATGAGTCTGAGGCCAGCCTGGGTTACATAGCGAGTACAAGGCCGTAGTGAGTTCACAGCAGGCTGCAAAATGCGACCCTGTCTCAAAAACACATATACGGATGGGCTGGGGATGTAGCTCAGTGGTAGAGTAATGGCCTAGCATTTGTGAAGGCATACACACACACACACACACACACACACACACACACACACACACATACACACGCACAGTATATGGAAGGCTGGGTGTGGCTCAGTGGTAGACTGTGTGCTTAGCATGAGCAAGGCCCTGGTTTCAATCTCCATTACAAAAAGAAAAAGAAGGGTATGGAAGAGCAACTGTACAAGAACGCCAAGACAGTTATACAAAAGAACAAGTGGGTGGGATGGGAGCTACCCAGCCAGATAGCATTGCTTACTATTAAAGCTAGAGTGATAAAGACAGAGCAGCAATAGGACAGGATAGACAAGTGGACTGGCAGGACAGGACAGAACCTAGTATGATATCCAGGCATATATGGAGACTTGACTTATAACTGATGGGCATTTCAGGTCGTGAAGAAAGACTAGACTATTTAATAAATGGTTCTGAGACATTCAGTTAATTAAATAGAAAAAAATGAAATTTCATCCTCGCCTTACACTATATCTCAAGAAAGCCATTCTGAGACTTAAATATGAAAGGCAAAAGTACAAAGCCTTTAAAAGTCAAACTAGGGGGCTGGGGATTTAGCTCAGTGGTTCTGCCGCCTGCTTCCCAAGCACAAGGTTCCGAGTTCAATCCCCAGTACCACCAAAATAAATAAATAAATAAATAAGTAAAAGTCAAATTAGAGAAATATTTTTATATGCTTGAGGATAAGGGAAAGATTTTTTGTTTTGCTTTTTGAGACAGGGTCTAGAAGACTGGCCTTGAACTCACTTTGTAACCCAGGTTGGCCTCAAACTCAAGCAATCTTCCTGCCTCAGCCTCCCAAGTGCTGACAATACAAATGTGTGCTACCATGCCCAGCCCTGGGGGAAAGACTCTTAAAGTAAGGACAAAAATTCTCTATGATGACTGTGATCATTATGTATATCAAAGGTGTATCAACAGAATTAGTTTTAAAAAAGAAAAGTAAAAAAAGCTCAAATGGCAAAGGAAACATTTGATAAATTCAGCTACATTTAAAAAGAGAAAGTTAAAAGGCAACTTGCTGGGCGAACATATTTGGAACATATTTAATGAAGGATTAATATGATGAACATATAAAGTGCCTTACAAATTTTTAAAAAGGCAAAATATATGATAAATCTGTGCAGAAGCCTTGAGAAACATTTGTCTAAAGAGGCAACACCAAAGGCCACCAACATGGAGTTCGGTAGGACCTACAATGGCAACTCTCGCGTTATTCCTCTCCACACCCTGCATTCTTACTCTTTAACATCTCTGATATAGTTTGTAATGAAATTCAATTGGCAAGGAAAGCATAGTTATGGAAATTCACCTGAGTATCTCTTACTAAGGAAGCGCTCCGTAAGGTATGGGATAGTCATGGCATCGATCAGTCCGTCACCCAACACTGGGCGCCAACCCCTGAACGAGAGACAGCTAGCATCATGCAACGGCTCTGGGTTCCACAATGACGTAACAGTTGTGGAAGTGTGATGGGAGGGGACAGAAGCAAGAGGACGCGCATTGACTTGTTTGCAAAATTAATACAGAAGAGCCGGAATAAGTTTAAGGGCTTTGATTTTACACACACACACACACACACACACACACACACACACACACACACACACTTTTTGCCCAAAGCCTGAAAGCTGTAGGTGACCAGTAAATACAAAAGCAATTCAAAGATAGGAGATTAAACATACATATATTTAGCATTGCAAAACCCACTAAAATAAAGATATAAACCCAGAAGGACAAAATGAAAAGAGCCAGCAGCCAAAACACAAACACAGAAACAAAAGCCAAAAGACACAAACCAACAGAAACCTAGTCACAACAAGAAAAAGAAATCTGCGAATCAGATGAACCAGTGGTACCAACCTAGCAGACCCGGTGCACTGAGCCCCAGCTGAGCCAATAGCCCGGAAAGCTGGCCTGGCTCGGGGGTCCACAGCACTGAGGAGGGTTCCACACCAGAGATGGGCTGTGGCTGCTGGACCTGCAGCTCAACCCTCCCGTCATTTCCACACGAGAGCAGAAGTGGGGTTCACCCTCGCAAGAGGGAACCACAGAGCATTTCATTCCTGGGGGGCAGCAGCACAGCTGACAGCAGTGTGACTAGAAGCTTCGCGTGTGCAGCTGAGACAGCTGTGGCCCTCTACCCTCATCCAGCCTGGAAGGCTGGCAGACAGGAGTAGACCCTCAGGTGGCAAATGGAAGGAGCTGTGTTTGCGGACTCTGACCTGGTCGGGGGAAGCGACCTTCAGACAGCAGAGACATTGGAATTTCCACTAGGAAACAGCCCAAATCTTTCACACCTACCCTGAAGGGAGACTGTCAGGAGCTCAAGGTCAAACGTGCCTGGCACCACTTCCGGTCAGCTGTGTGAAAAACGGGTAACTTGCAGGGTGGCCGGTGTGGGTCGTGGTAGAACACTTGCCTAGTGTGCACGGGGTCTTGGGGTCAATCCCTGAGGGGAAAAAGAGTAACTTGCGTTCCTTCTCTGTCTGTTCCCGCACCTGTAAGAGTAATGTGGCATTCTCCTCACAGACTTGCAAGGGTTAACACACTTACAACAGGGCTGTAATTCGCACACTCGCTGCTGGGTGGCTTGAACCACCAGTGGTTCACGCATGACTGTCCTACGTGTGACTGTACCACTTCTACCAGCAGCGGCTGAATAAGCGGATCATGGTGCTTGGCTCCCGGAGGAGCTCTCATTACTGTGGTCAGTAGCTTGTGTCCTTTTTATGGGCCCCCAGCTGAGAGGCAGGACGGCACCCAGGCACCTCCTCCAGATTTTCCAAGCCATGCTTATTCCCATCTCCCCATTAGCTCGCGCGTCTAAGGCAGTCAGTTCCTTCTAACCCCTCCTCATCCCACCATCCCCAGATCCAACAGTTACCTCAAACCTCCCAAATCATGAGGAAGGCCCAGCCATCCTTCCTGGGCCTTGGTGAGCTTGACTGAGACAGGAAGGTAGGGCACGGTTAACACTGGCTGAGAAAGGATGTGCACCAAGAACACATGCGCAGAACAATTTGCATAACCTTGCTTGCAGACTTCTTGTGAGGGCTCAAGCAGGCTTTTTGATAGGATGACCTCAATGTGACCCTAGCGTGAGAAATATAACAAAGAGACAGTCACCATTAAGTGCTTACTATTTCACCATAGCCCACCCTACACTGCAGAAAGTTTTTTTTCCCCCCTCTGGTACCGAGGGTTGACCTTGTTGTGCTTGTGAGGCAGGCATAGTGCCACTGAGCTAAATCCCTGGCCTTGTAGAATATATTTCTAGTTTTAATTTTTTCTCCCTTTTCCTCTGCCCGAACTCACTCTATAGAGCCTTTTATTTCCCTACCCTTCTGGAGCTTTTTCCTGCCTGTAATAGATGTAAAATCTAGCCACTATTTTTGTTTGTTTCATTCATTTCTTTGTCTGTTACAGAAAAGACCTAGAAACCACTTCCAGAAGTAGACTTCAGTACCCCAAAACCCAGTACACAACCTTAGGGTTAGTCAGCCTTTTGTCCCTGACAAAATGCCTGACATAAACAACTTTAAGGAGGAAATATTTATTTTGGCATATGGTTTCAGAGGCTTTAGTCCATGGTCAACTGGTTCAGTGGCAATGGGCCTGAGGTGAGAAAGAATAGCAAGATTGAAAGAGATGGCGGAGGTAAGGTAAGAAGGTGAATACCTTCTTCTGGCAGCCAAGAAGCAGAGCAGGGGGAGGTTTGAGTCCTCTGATCTAATCACTTCCCAAAGGCTCACTCAACTTAATGAGTTTTTGGAGGGATATTTTAGACAACCACAACAAACTCCCAAACCCGTTACTCCTGGGGCCCAGTGTGAATCCCTCCATCTCCTCCCAGCCTCAGAGGTACCCACTTATGCCTTTTGAAAATCTAGAGGAAACCTGAAGAGTTTCCAAGGGGTCCTGGGACCTGGGATGAAGCAGAGTATCCAGGGGCATAGTCTGGTCTTTGTGGGCTGTTCTTGAGAGATTCTCCTCATCCACAAAGGTTGGCTGGGAATGAGTGACCTCCCCCCAGAGAAGAGATTCAAATGGCTGCCTTATCACATGGGGGAAGAGAGATGAGCCAGCTTCTGGGAGTGTTAGAAGGCCAGGAGTAAAAGGCTCAGCTAGCCCATATCCCTGCCCAGATGAGAGGCACTGCCACAGTGAGCCTACTGAGAGGTCTACTCCAAAAGTCAGAAAAGGCCCTTGACTGACTTAGTGTGACTTAGTGCCTCACCACAGAGACCCCATAATGAGCAGGAAAAAAGAGCAAAAATACTCATTAGAAACCCAAGAAAAATTCTGAAAAGATCCAACCCACCCTCCCCTTCCCTACTCCAACCCCATTGTCATCTGCTCTGGCCACAAAGCCTCCAGTCCCCGGGGAGCCAGGCTGTTCTTCCCTGCAGGCACCGCTAGGCCAGGACAAGAAAGCATTCCTCTCCGTAGGACGGAGGAAGAGGGCCCAACCCTGAAAGGCGGGAGGGGACTTGGGATTCCACTTCCATTGTTCTCTCAGACTGCCCAACAGGGGAGAGGCAGGAGGAAGGAGGTGCCCAGAGAGAGTCTGGCCAGCTGGGGCAGGAGCTAGGCATCTGCCTCCCTCTTCCTTCCACTGGATTCTCACATCCTTTCTTCAGCCTGTCTCTCCTGCCCTCAGCCTCATCTTCAGTGTACAGGAAATACTCAGGGCGGGGGCCCCAGCCCTGATACCTGTCCCTGTTGCCTCCTCTGGCTTCCCTGGTGGGGCTGTCTGTGATGGTCCCTCTTGCACGTCTGTAGCCATGACCCACCAAGGCAAAATCTGAACACATTTCCAGTCATGTAAACCCCATGCCATAAGTCATAGATCCACAACCCACAGGGTAATTTGCTGATCAAACTTGACTTCTTCTATGTTCCTCACCCACACACTCCTAGGCCGGGTGTATGATGGCTGAGGTTGGGTGACAAATAGCCACTAATGGCCTGTCCTTTCATTCTTAGAAAAACATTTGTCAGGCACAATTCTGGGTTGGGGAAAGAGCAGTGAACCAAAGATCCCTGTCTATGAAGCCTCTGTCCCAGCAGGCAGCTGCTCCCTTGTTCTCTGCAGTCACCCATCCGCCTGGTCCATTTGGCTGTGTGGCCAGGAATGTGGCAGGAGTAGGGTTCTTAAAGCTAACTAGTTCTGGGTTTCATCTCACCTTAGGAGGGACCCTCACACCCTTTCTTTCTTCATTTTACTTTTGGTTTTTTGGTACAGGTTTTTGCTACCCAGGCAAGGTTGGCCACAGACTCACGAAATTCCCGTCTCAAGCCTCCTGAGCTCTTGGATTACAGACCTATATCACTACACCCAGCTCCTGAGAAGTTTCCTTTTAAATTCAGCATCCTCATCCATAAGGTGGGGTTTTACTACTGAGAGAAAGCCTATTGTTAAGGGTAATAGTAGTTCATTTTCACAGGGATTGTTTTAAGAGCCCAAATAAAAGATGCATTCAGGGTCAGGGATTTAGCTCAGTGGTTCTGCCACTTGCCTCAAAAGCGCAAGGTCCAGAGTTAGATTCCCAGTACCCGCCCCCCCACAAAATGCATCTCAAGGGCTTAGCTGAGTTGGGATGTGATAATAAATGCTTGGTAAACATAGAGTATCATCACAGAATCATTCCTTGTGGGGGAGTTTTTGGGTGCTTAATGATCCTTTTTTTTTTGTAGTATTAGTGTAAGCAAACTCCCAAGCCAGAAACTTCTTGAGCTGTTTATCTTCCATTTGTTCATATGCTCACCACAGAGGCAGAGGGGCCTCTGGATGAGGGTTACGCTTAGGAACTGTAATCGTACCTGTGCAGCTAATGCATGGAGCTAGTGAGGGAACCTAAGAGCAGAAAACTCTCCATACAGTGCAGGTTTCTGGGGTGCCTGAGAAGCACAACCCAGGAATGCTTTTAATTATGCCACTGAGTGCCACCAAGAGGACCCTTTTTGAGCTCCTAAGCCCGGAGATGGCTCAAGTCTCATCCATTGTTTTCTTGGTGTTGGGACAGAAAGACAGGTCCCATCATGGGCACCATTAGCCTGGAATAACACAAAGGTGTCCGAGGTCATTCCCTGGACAAAGTATGGTGGGACAGGGTGGGGACTATTTACCATGGTTATAAATAAGTCCTGCCCACAATTGAGGTACAACTCTTCATTTTACAATGGGAGTGAGAAAATCATTTCCAGAATCATTATAAAACAAGGTCTTTGATTCATGAACCCCAGCTTCCCCAGAGATGTTAAAACCTCATTTCACTTGGGGGCCAATTATTCAGTTATTGAAAGACTATAAGAAGCATGTGAATAGAATCTAATCTGATTGTCTTAGGCAAATGTGTTTTCTGAGCACTTCTCATCATGAACTTGACTTAATGAAGTCTCACTGTACCCTCCTAAGTGTTACCATATTTGTTTGTCTGTTCTCAGTGTGCCTCAGACATTTAAAGAGGTCTCACTGAGCTCTTAGTCTCCTAGACACACACAGCAAAATGAAAAAGTGGCCAAGATTTCTCTCTGAAGACTTTGGGTGTATATATACACTATTTGGTGCATATATATATTTACAATTGTTATCTCTTCCTCTTGGATTGTTCCCTTTACAAGGATGTAGTGAACTTCTTTGTCTCTCTTAATTGGTCTTGGTTTGAAATCCACTTTGCCTGTAAACAGAATAACTACCCTTGGTTTTCTCCAGGTTCCTGTCTCATGGAATATTGCTTTCTATCCTTTGACTTTCAGCATGTGAATTCTTTAATTAAATGTGTTTCTTGCATGTAGCATATTTCTTTTGACTGCTGAACTGAGACCATTAATATTGATGGTTATGTGCCTGCCTGGCAAATGCAAGTTCCTCAGTTCAATTCTGGTACTTAAAAAAATAACTGATGGTTATAATTGGTATGTAGTATTGACTTATCCTTGTTATGTTATTTTCCTTTTTTTGGCTCCCTTTTTCTTCCTCTATTTAATTTCTTGCTTTGCCTAGTTGATTCATTCTGTTGGGTTCATGGAGTTTTAATCTTTGTTATCTCTTTCTAGGATAGCCTTTAGAAAACTTTGAAGTGCTGGTTTGGTGTTCATGAATTTCTCCAGGTGTTGTTTGTCATGGAACTATCTTATTTTTCCATTAATTCTGAAAGGTAGTTTTATGGGGTACATCAATCTGGGCTGGAGGCTATTTTCTTTCAGGACTTGAAATACTTCACTACAAGCTGTCCTTGCCTTGAAGGTTTGTGTTGAGAAATCTGCTGTGATTTTGATGGGCTTTCCTTTATAGTTGTTTCTTTTCTCTAATAGCTTTTAATATTTTGTTGTATTGGATTTCTGGAGTCTTGACTATTATATGCCTTTGTAGAGATTTTTTAAATCATGGCTAATTAGTTTTATATGCTTCACTTATTTGTATGTCAAATTCTTTTTCCCTGTCTTAGAAGTTTACTGCTATTACTTCTGTGAATATGTTTTTTATGTCATTTGCACTCTTGCTTTTTCATTGACCCTGATCAATCTTATGTTATTCTTCTTTGCGTCATCTAGCAGCTGCCGGACTGATTTCTTGAGGTCCCTTGCTTTTTTTTTTTTTCCCTTTTGGTACTGGGGATCAAACTCAGGTCCTTAGACTTGTGAGGCAGGCAGTAGAACCTCTGAGCTAAATCTTTGGCTGGTCCCTCACTATTTTTAAAAAATCTTTCTTTTCATGATCACTAACCACAATCCTGTCTTCTGTATCTGATATTCTGTCCTCACATTAGCTCATTCTTTATATATATATTAGCTCATTTTTCTGAGTATACTTTTAATGGAGTTTTTTATCTCCTAGAGATCTGTCTGATTATGTTTCATGGATTCCATTTCTTTCCTATTCTGGGCATTCATGTTTTCCATCATTTTCCTAAACTCCTGTATTTTATTTTTTTAAATCTGAATTTGCTCTAGAGTTCGTAAGCATGGTCACCATCTCTGTAGTTATCTGATAAATTATTTCTGAGTTGATATTTTTCTAGAGCCTCATTCATCTGCTTTGTTTTTTCCACTGTTATCACTCTGGAGAGTCAAGATAA